GGACCAACCTCACATATTATCACAGAGCTCAACAGCACCCCCTTACAACACCTGGGAACCTAACACCCCCACGATAAACAGTAAATTACAGTTTTTTCTTTGAACAATCTTCCTCAAATTATTCCTTTTTCTACCACAATTGGGCTGGTCTCAACTGCCCAGGCCATCTTAAATGTCAGCTTCAGAATTGTTAGGAAAGATAAGTAGCTTCAGGTTTTCTGTTTTTGTTTTTTCCTCTGTCAATCTTGGGTTGACCAAAGAGACGACTGACATTGGAGATGGAGGGGATGCCATGACTGGGCCAAACAAAATTCATCCCAGAGAAGAGCTTACTGAATTTCAGGTAGAAGTAGCAGTGGTGATGATGATGATGATACAGTGGTACCTCGGTTTACAAACTTTATCTTTTCCGGAAGAGGACTGTTCTTAAATCAAGATACCACTGTAGTAATAATAATATTTTTTATTTATACCCTGCCCATTTGGCTGGGTTGCCCCAACACATATATAAACATGGCTTCCAACACATTTATAAACATGAAGCATAAATAATAATAATCTGATCCCATATAAAAAGAACATTAACTTTAAAGTGAACTTCTCCTAGTGGCCAAAATTGTGGAAACCTTTTGTGAAAAGTGTATTTCTGAGGTTTGATGGCTCAGAACACCCCTTTTGTGTGGAGTAATAGCATAAAATTATATATCAATGCAAAGATAATTTAATGAAGAATGTAATGAAAGAACGTTTATGAAGGTGTATTTATTAGAACAGCAGTCCTAACCATTTATTAGAACAGCAGTCCTAACCATTGGCAACCTTTAGCTTTAATTACGGCCTTACAATGCCTTCCCATGAAGTGAACCAAGTTTTTAGTTCTGCAGCTGTAATAAAGTGAAACCAAGCTTAAATTATTGCCTCTGTTAATTGGACTTTATTGCTGGGTTGCTTCTGACTAACAAGTTTCTTTAGTCGGTTATATAGATTTCTGATTGGGTTAAAGTTTGGGCTATTCCCAGGCCATTCCAGCAGTGAAATATCATTATCTTGAAAGCACCTTTTGCACACAGCAGCAACACGACATAGAGCTGAATCCTGTTGAAATAATACATAAAAATAAAAATATATAAATATATAAATGCTTCAGTATCTGGGAAAAGATCTGTTGGGATTCGCAGGATGATGAGTAAGTCTGCAGGCTTCAACAGGCTGATGCAATACTCTGTGAAGTGCTGGGTCAGAGTGACTCAGCAGGAATGTGATTGGCTGTCACCTGTTTTAAAAGGAAAGCCTGTTCAACAGTAAGTGTGGTGGTTGTGCTGTGGTGTGGTGATGCTGTGGTGGAGAGTATTCGTTTGCCTTAAGGAGCAGGTACTCTGTATGGACTGTTTTTGTAAATACCTTTATATAGCTCACATTAAAAAGACTGCACTGGAAAAACCTGGGACTCTGAGCGTTTCTGCTAAAAGCGCAGCGAGGAATTCTCGACAGGGTTATGGGCCCAGCACGCTTCCGCTGCGCAAGAGTACAGATGGCAGTTATCTAGCCGTGGGTGCTGGAGGTGAGCTGCAGGGATGGAGCAGTCCAGAACTGGCGTGTTGCTGGAGAAGCTGACGGCCACGAACTACAGCATCTGGCTGGTCCGCATGCAACACTTCCTCAAGCGTGAGGGCCTGTGGAAGGTGGTGGAAACTCCACCGCAGCCCTCTGAGGAGGATGAGGACGACGATGAAAAGCTGGCACTAGTAGAGGCCCAACTAGAAAAGGATGAGAAAGCGTTGGCTACGATCATCCTTGGAGTGGACGACAGCCAGCTAGTCTACGCAGCTGATAAGGTGACGGCAAGTGAGGCGTGGAATGCGCTCAAGGCTGTCCATGTGCAAGAGACAGCTGGCTCACTGATAACATTGACCAGGAGACTGTACCGGTGTCGGAAGAAACCGGGGGACTCCCTGGTAAACCACCTAAAATTCCTAACAGGCTGTTTCCAGGAGCTAGCCTTAAGAGGGAGGCCTGTGGGGGAAGAGGACAAAGTCTTTATAGTCCTGAGTTCCCTTGATGACAGCTATGATATGCTGGTCAACTCCCTCGAGTCTGTAGAGACTGATAAGCTGACTCTGGAATACGTGACCGGACGGTTGTATGCAGAGGAGGACAGGCGTGCAGAGCGAAAGATGACCTCAGCCCAGCTGTTGGAGCATCCCAGAGGGAACAACAGCCAGGAAGACCAGAGTTGTCGGGAGCCGGAGAAACAGCCAGGAGGAGCTGCTGCAGACCAGCCGGTGGTCAACAAAGTAAAAAGGTGTTTTTGCTGCAAGTCCAGTGGACATCTGCGGGACTGCCCGAGAAAACAACAAAAACAGCAGAAGCACAGGAGGCAGCAGAGTCTACTGCTTGGGAGTCTGCAGATGGTCAGGAAAATGAAGAGCTGTGGGTTCTGGACAGCGGAGCTTCTCAAACCTTTTGTAAAAGAAAAGGATTGCTAACTGATGCTAGGGCTTCAAACAAAAAACATGTAAGTCTTGCTACGGGCCAGAAAGCTAATGTGGTTTGTGAGGGGGAGGTTGTGTTCCCACAGCTGGGACACACATTCAGGAATGTGTTGTGTGTGCCTAGTTTGCAAAACAATCTCCTGAGTATTCCAGACTTGGCAAAAGCAGGCTTTGAAGTAAATTTTGTGGGAGACCAGTGTCAGATAAAGCAAAATGGGGCAGTGTTGGCAAATGCTAACCTTAGAACTAATATGTATGTACTGCAGTGTGAGTCTAAGGTTGCGAATGTGCAAAATGTCCCAACCCATGATATGTGTATTCATCTCCTGCACAGGCGTCTGGCTCATGCTAGCTTTAAGGTGCTGAACAAAACATTGGAGTGTGTGGGGATGAAAAACATTAAAAGTTGTGATAATTACTTAGACTGCAATATCTGCAAGGAGGTTAAAAGCAGGGCTTGCCCAGTAGCAAGAGCAAGCCAAAGAGAAACCAAAAAACCACTGGAGTTGATTCATGCTGATGTAACTGGTCCTTTTCCACCAAGTGTCTCCCATAACAAGTACTGTTTGATCCTAGCGGATGACTATTCTAGATTTGGCTGGGTCTATCCATTAAAGCAAAAGTCTGACGTTGCCCAAACTTTGAAGTTCTGGGTAAGAAGGGTAGAAAGGCAACTTGGCGAAAAGGTGTGCTCTATTCAGACAGACAGGGGAGGAGAGTTTATGGCAAGCTCCCTAAGAAACTGGTTGCGTTCCGAAGGGATTAAACATAGGCTTACCAATGTGGCAACGCCTCAGGAGAACGGAGTAGCAGAGCGTAGGGGAGGTGTCTTGCAGACACAAATGAAAGCATTGTTAGCAGATGCAAATCTTCCAATTAAGTAGTGGGCTGAGAATCGCTTGTGGTCAAGGGTCCTAGATGACATGCCCTATAAAATTCTCTATAACAAAAGTCCCAGTTTGCAACATTTGAGAATCTTTGGGACAAAGGCGTGGGTTGGCATAATTGTAAAGAACCGAAGAAAAGGTGGGAAAAGGGCACAGCAGTTGCTATTTCTTGGGTATGAAAGTGGTACGAAAGCCTACAGGTTTGAAGATGATAAAAATCTTTTGAGTTATAGTCGATCAGCCAGCTTTAATGAGCAAAGAAATTGGCCCAAGATACATGCAAACCTGCTGCCAGAAAAAGTTTTACTGCGGAACACTTCAGTTTGGGCTCAAGTATTTTGTTTATGCATTTTGGAGCATTTATATTCCCATTAATGATGCAAATTCTGCCCACACCTTTTGCTGCCATACAACCCCAGATCATCACACTGTCTGGGTGTTTCATGGTCAGTGTAATGCAAGTAGGATGTAAATCTTATCTGATTCTTCTCGGGTATTTCATGCCATCACTACCAAGCAAGGAGATTTGGGTCTCATTGCTCCAAATAACACTGTTCCATTGATCTGCTGTCCAGTTAACATGGGTTTAATCTTAGACCAGTCCTTGCACTCAACTTCATATTGCATTGTACCATGTCATCTTGTATCCACCCAGATGATATTCTTCTGTCATGTAGGCACAGTCTCTTCTTTCTTCGATCGTCACTTGCCTTTGTGCACCTTTTCCTGCCTTTATCACTCTGATTTTGTAGTGACTGAGTCTCCTTATACCTCTTCAAAAATATAGAAAGGCCAGCTTTGGTGTAGTTTTTCCCAATCTTTCATCTAATTTCTTCATAACTGTAGCCTTGTTCACTTAATAGTACAATTTTACATCACTTTCTGGGTGATTAGTCAACTCTTTGTGCCATTTCTTTAATTTGATTATGTTTTTCAACCTCACTAAATGACCAACTTGATAGCAATCACATAAGACACTGACAAAAGGCAACCTAAGCAAGTTGTGCTTCCTTTTTCTGGTTATTTGGCTATAAGGTTTGGTAAAATATAGGTAATTGAACAAACTTTGTTGGATTGCATTCTTGATTGCATTCTTGATCAAATTATCTTTCCATTGATATATAAATTTATAATATTACTCCAAAAGAAGAACTACACTTTTTTCAAAAGTCTTCCACAATTTTAACCACAACTTTATATCAAACAAAGCAACATTCAACAACTCATCAGAATCTTATAATAAATATGTTGGTTAATGACAAACAACACGGGTAATGAACACACACCCAACTCCCTTCAGTTCTTCTCTATTTGTTCCTAAGGCTCTAATCCCTTTTGTCTCCATTGCAGATTGTGATGAATCAGAAATTGAGAACAAAGGTGACCACGATAAAATCCCCAGGGAGGAGAAGCCACGTAAAAATTTGGAGTGTGGAGAGAGCTGCAGTCAAAACTCCCGTTCCACTTCCCATCAACAAAATATCATTGGAAAGAAAGTCTATCAGTGCATAGAATGTGGAAAGAGATTCACTCGTAGCTCCTCTCTCAGTTCCCATCACAGAATTCATACAGGGGAGAAACCCTATCAGTGTGTGGAATGTGGAAAAAGCTTCAGGCAGAGCGCCAATCTCACTTCCCATCAAAGAATTCATACAGGGGAGAAACCCTATCAGTGTGTGGAATGTGGAAAAAGCTTCAGTACGAACTCCAATCTCACTTCCCATCACAGAATTCATACAGGGGAGAAACCCTATCAGTGTGTGGAATGTGGAAAAAGCTTCAGGCAGAGCGCCAATCTCACTTTCCATCAAAAAATTCATACAGGGCAGAAACCCTATCAGTGTGTGGAATGTGGAAAAAGCTTCAGGCAGAGCGCCAATCTCACTTTCCATCAAAAAATTCATACAGGTGAGAAACTCTATCAGTGTGTGGAATGTGGAAAGAGCTTCAGTCAGAGCTCCGCTCTCACTTCCCATCAAAGAATTCATACAGGGGAGAAACCCTATCAGTGTGTGGAATGTGGAAAGAGCTTCAGTCAGAGCTCCTCTCTCACTTCCCATCACAGAATTCATACAGGGGAGAAACCCTATCAGTGTGTGGAATGTGGAAAGAGCTTCAGTAAGAGCTCCCATCTCACTTCCCATCAAAGAATTCATACAGGGGAGAAACCCTATCAGTGTGTGGAATGTGGAAAAAGCTTCAGTACGAGCTCGGATCTCACTTTCCATCAAAAAATTCATACAGGGGAGAAACCCTATCAGTGTGTGGAATGTGGAAAAAGCTTCAGGCAGAGCACTGATCTCACTTCCCATCAAAGAATTCATACAGGGGAGAAACCCTATCAGTGTGTGGAATGTGGAAAGAGCTTCAGGAAGAGCTCCAATCTCACTTCCCATCAAAGAATTCATACAGGGGAGAAACTCTATCAGTGTGTGGAATGTGGAAAGAGCTTCACTCATAGCTCCTCTCTCACTTACCATAGAATAATTCATACAGGGCAGAAACCCTATCAGTGTGTGGAATGTGGAAAAAGCTTCAGGCAGAGCACTGATCTCACTTCCCATCAAAGAATTCATACAGGGGAGAAACCCTATCAGTGTGTGGAATGTGGAAAGAGCTTCAGTAAGAGCTCCCATCTCACTTCCCATCAAAGAATTCATACAGGGGAGAAACCCTATCAGTGTATGGAATGTGGAAAGAGCTTCAGTCAGAGCTCCAATCTCACTTCCCATCAAAAAATTCATACAGGGGAGAAACCCTATCAGTGTGCAGAATGTGGAAAGAGCTTCACTGTTACCTCTAAACTCACTTCCCATCAAAGAATCCATACAAAGATTGGAAAAACCATTATACAGCTTTAGGAGCCTGGCAAATCCACACTGTTTTAACCAGGCCTTTTTCTTAATGACATCTAATGCTATTTTAACATGTGATGTTTTGTGTTTTTATGTTGTGTTTTTATGTTCTAAGCCTCCTGAGACCTGTGGGTGTAGGGAATACAGCCACTCTTAAATTCCTTGGGGTCTTTGCGCCCCCCCCATAAAATATTTGAGGAGGCCACCCCCCAGGTTTTCTTTGTCTGTTTTTTTCAAATGCAACCTTTTTTTCTTTCGCAACTTGCCATTCCATTTCGCTTTCAATTTGCCCTTTTAAGAAATTTTTAAAACCGCACAAAGGTCATGAGAAAAACAAAATACGAGAAAATACAAAAGTGGACAGGTCCCATCTTTGCGGGCCAAACGCAAAAGTTGCTTTAAAGGAGGCTTTCCCATACATGGGTCCCAAGCAGCACCAGGGACTACAGTTTCCAGCATCCCTCCCCATTGGTCCTGCTAGCTAGGGATGATGGGAGTTGTAGTCCAAAACAGCCGGAGACCCAAGTTTGCTTTAAAGGGAAAGTGGGCTGGCCCTGTGACATTTCCAGAGAGCCAAGACTGTGCAGGGGACCCCAGGACTCACCCCCCCCCAGGAGACCAAGAGAAAGGGAAAGAATCTGCTTGGAAATTGAAATAGGGGCTCAAAATATTACTTTTTTAAAAAGTCACTGCCATTATAGGCATTGCCATTCAAATGGCATGCATGCATCATGTGATTGATTGTGCAAGGCCCCCCACCAATATTTTATTCAATTCGGCACCACTGGGTGGGGTGGTTTCCCAATTAAATAAATACATAAATTGCCTCCCTTTGCACATATTCCAGCTTGTCAATATCCTCATTTATGCTTTTTAAAATTTATTTGCCCTCCATCTGAAGATTTTACAATATAAACATACAGGATGAAAGCATGTCATTCTCAAAAAAAAAAGACAAGCCAGAGAAATCTCTCCTTTTCTACTTTTCTATTTTTGGATGGAGTTACAAACTTTGTTGATCAGGGAGCTGCTTTGGAAGTAGTGCACCTCGATTTCTGTAAGGCTTTTGAGAAAGTCCTCTGTGATATTTATGTGAGGAAGCTGGTAAAATGAGGCTGAATGAGGTAACTGTTAGGTGGATTTGACTGACTGAACCCAAAGAGGACTCCTTCATGCGTCCTCCTCATCCTGGGGAAAAGTGACCAGAGGGGTGCTGCAGGGTTCTGTCCTGGGCCCGTTGTTGTACAACGTCTTGATAAATGACATGGTTGAAGGAAATGAGGGGATGCTATCACATTTGCAGATGACACGAAATGGATCATGATGGCATCCTCTCTCTTCCTCAGCAACAGACAGGGAGACAAAGAACAGTGCAAAAGCACAGCAGAGCGGAAGAGATAAGACTGACTTCCGTTCTTACACTTTCCAAGCCTAGGAAAATAAATAGAGGCATGTGACATACTAGCCACATATCCAGCAACCGGAGGAGTGAATTGCTAACGCACCACACATGATTGCAGGTGATATGAGTAAAAAAACCTGCTCCTTTTTGCTTATGGGGTACCCAAGAGCCCCTATACAGTCCTTTTGTAGGTTCTCTATCGGTAGGAGAAAATAGCAGAGACCAACCAGAGAATAACCAGAGCAGCCAGTAAGCCTGTTGTTTACTAACTGTTGCAACAGGGTTCTCCCCCACATGCAGGAGAGAGGAGGAGGACCCCGAGCCATACATGCAGGCCCTTACATAGACATTTTTAATTGCCCACCCTGGACTCCAAGACCACCCCCAGAAACATCCTACATACATCACAGAAGAGGTGTGGCCCAAAACTACCCCCCAGATGCATCATACCTACGTCACAGAAAAAGCGGTCTACAACAGAAATCTGAGTGCGTTGTTTTTACCTTGTCTGCCAGGTTACCTGTAAATGGTCACTTGACTGGATTACCTGGGGAGCCTGGACATTCTTTTGTAATGGTAATACTTCATTCCTGAGCCAGGTCGCAGTCTCACCCTATTCACACCTTAAATGTGCCCTTAAGGCAGGATTTGTGAGGACAGAGACAGTGGGGAGGTTTCTGCATTTCCTTCGACCTTGTAGAGAAATATTTGAGGTGAGTAAAAGAGTCAAAATGGCTTTAGGGCTTTTCCTGTGGGTTTTGGACATGTGGTTTATATATTTATATATGTATTTGCTTGGTACATTTAGGAACATTTATATAATATATCCTAAAAAATTATTTTAACAATTCCCCCCTTGAGAGCCAGGCCTCTTGAGAGCCAGCGTGGTGTGGTGGTTAAGAGTGGTGGACTCATAATCTGGGGAACCGGGTTCGCGTCTCCGCTCCTCCACATGCAGCTTGGGCTAGTCACACTTCTCTGAAGTCTCTCAGCCCCACTCACCTCACAGAGTGTTTGTTGTGGGGGAGAAAGGGAAAGGAGAATGTTAGCTGCTTTGAGACTCCTTCGGGTAGTGATAAAGCGGGATACCAAATCCAAACTACTACTACTCTTCTTCTTCTTCTTCTTCTTCTTCTTCTTCTTCTTCTTCTTCTTCTTCTCCTCTTAAGGCTATTTGCAAGTGTAGCAGTGCACATAGCTGGACATAGGCTATCACATAAAAAAATAATACAGTTGAAGCGTAAGGTTCATAAATATGTAAGAAAAGACAGGTATATGTTCCTTTTTGTGTGTCTGTATATATGTGATTGAAACTTTAATCTATTTTACAAGATGTTTATATATATATATATATATATATATATATATATATATATGCTTTCGTAGATTTTCACGGGTACAGGAATGCAGGTTTTGGTGTCCTCGGGTGTCTTCCCGTGTAAAAGTTGGGGTGTCTAGGCGACGTTTCGACGAGGTCTCACTCGTCATCTTCAGGCTGGTGCTTTCGGCTTCTTGTTACTGGAACAGATATATATATATATATAGTATTATATATATATATAATACTATATATTATATATAGGTAACCTGGCAGACAAGGTAAAAACAACGCACTCAGATTTCTGTTGTAGACCGCTTTTTCTGTGACGTAGGTATGATGCATCTGGGGGTAGTTTTGGGCCACACCTCTTCTGTGATGTATGTAGGATGTTTCTGGGGGTGGTCTTGGAGTCCAGGGTGGGCAATTAAAAATGTCTATGTAAGGGCCTGCATGTATGGCTCGGGGTCCTCCTCCTCTCTCCTGCATGTGGGGGAGAACCCTGTTGCAACAAACTATATATATATATATATAGTATTGCAAGGATATTAATAAAGCTGGGGGGGAGGAGGAAAGCGTGAGGCAAGGGGGAGGTGGTGCCAGAATTTGGCATCGTACAGGGCAGCACCACCATTTGAGATGCCACGATCCGCCATTGCTCTGACCTCTAGGGTGTGCCCTTTTCTTACCCAGCACCCCAATCTCTGTGCAACAAGAAACTCCAGGGGTGCTTCTCCTTACCCGGGGTTTAGTTTTCTGGGAATGAAGGTTAGCAGAGACTGTGGAGTCTTCAGGATACCTGGTTTTATTTGCACATATATACAACCTAAGGATAGGATAGAGGGCCTCTTTGCACCCCCCCTTACAGATCTTGCTTCTGCATTAGGTTTCCCATAAAGCCCCAAGCCCAGCTTTGGAGTCTGGCACAGAGCAGGAAAGAATTTCAAGAGGGACAAATCTAAGGTTCTGCACACGGAGATCAGATTCTATCCAATTCAGATTTCTTTGTGGGGCAGGTATAGGACCATGAACACTCATCCCAATTTCTTAAAAGTCTTCCCACCACACTTTTCAATGCATTTACCCTTCATTTTCCAAACTGCAAAAAGGCCATATTATTATTATTTTTTAAGTGGATTTCACAGTTGGGGATGTTTAGCCTGGAGAAGGGGAGACGGAGACATGACTTGAGAGCCGTCTTCAAATACCTGAAGGGCTCCCACATGGAAGTTGCAAGAAGCTTGCACCTGCTCCTGCTCTGGAGACAAGGACCCAAAAGACTTGCGAGAAAGGAGATTCCAACTAAAGAACTGTCGTGCATCCATAATGCTATGGAAAGGGTGAATGTCTTCTAGAATTCTCTGGTGTCACCAGAAGAGAAAGCCCTTTTTTCAGTTAGGTCTGTTCTCAACTGCAGAGGATGAGTAGCCTTGGGAGCCTCTTGGGGAGATGGAAGTGATGAAAGAACTGAATCCACGAGGGAGAGCAACTTGCTCTGAGATGGGGCAACTTCGGGCAAAGGCCAGCTAAGTAGAGATGCTGTTGGCCACTAGTTTCTGTTCCTCCCCACTTTCCTGCGGGAGGAAAGAGCATCTCAGAGTCAGGGGCCAGCCTGGGCCAATGCGGCCCTCCACTGCCCCCACCACAGAGTCCCTGGCTTTCCTTTACCATCTCTGATGCCATCCAGACACTTACGTTAAGCAGGAGGAGGAGGTGTGGAGCATTGGGAGTCTTTGTCAGAACAGACGCCCATGTTCAAGCCAGCAGGGAAAGAGGGAAAGAGAGAAGAGATTTTGAGTCCTGAGTGCAGTTGTGGAAGTGTGTGAAGAGGAAGAAGAAAGAGCCATGTCAAGAGAAGTCAAGACCAACAGTTACAAACCTTCCTGTTCACCTGCGTTTCATCACCAGGGGTGCCTGAAACATCCTGTGGACTATTGAACTGAAGAGGTCGGAGGAGAAGTTTGGACTATGGGGCGCTTGTCAAAAGACCCCAGGTGCCCCAGGATGTCCTGGAAGAGAGCAGAGGAGGAAAGTCAGGTCCTTCCGGGGGCATCAGGAGGGCACCTCTGACCTCAAACTCCAGGCTTGGCTCTAGGACGGCCTGGAAAGTTGTGTGTTCCTTCGCCAGAAGCTGAACAGGGCCCTGAACCACCTGAACCTAGAAGAGAGGAGCAGGGCGGAGACAGCGATTCAGGAGCCCCAATGGGTGGGGGGTGT